CTTCGGGCCCCCCCCAGGACACTAGGCCCTGAGCCACCCAGCGCTGGTTCAGGTCATCAAGGATGACAAAGGCCCCCCCACTGTCTCCAAGGCATGTGTCCTTGCCGCCCTCATAGTAGCCAGCGCAGAACATATTCTCTGTGACACTGTAGTTTCCCGAGCGAGACTCGTAGCTGGCTTTACACTCGCTGTGTGGCACCACAGGTAACTTGACATACTGCAGGATATCTGACAGGGTTCTTGTGCCACTGCTAATTATGTCATCGACCGTTACATTAGGACTGGAGATGCCCCAGCCTGCCACCAGGCCCAGCATGTGAGGGGCTGGGCCTTCAGTTTCCGGCCTTGGCAAGCAGACAGGCATGACATGTGGTCCCAGAGGCACCGGCTCTTGCAGCTGCACCAGAGCTATGTCATGATTGTAGTTCTGGATGTTGAAATCCGGGTGGAGAACCACTCGGGCGGCTGAGCTATTGACGGCACCTGATTTGTCCCGTACATCATGCAGGCCCAGGTAGACAGTGATGTGCTCCTTAGAGACAGGGACCACCGTGTTCCCCCTGCGCTGGGACCGCAGCACGTGAGCTGCTGTGAGGATCCAGGACTCGGAGAGCAGGGCCCCGCTCCCAAACCACTTGTTGTCTGGCACTCGTGAGGTGTCTTCTACCACTATTAGGGCCTGCCAAGGAAAGAGGCCGGGCTCTGCATTGCGGCCTCCGATAATCCGCTTGACCAGGTTTGGCAGAGAGCGGGAGGGCTGACCACACACTGTGAGAAGAAAGGGAGTAGGGACAAGAGACAGAGACTGATTATGGCAGGCACACAAAAAGAAGTGCTAAGAGAAATGCCCACGTCACCCACTGTCGATTATGCCACCATGGGGCCCTTCCGCACCCGAGTCAGCTAGCCTGGGAGCTCTGCCCTTGGTCGTTTTCTGTCTCAGACCCTAGGGTGGCCCAAGAGTAGCTGGAGCTGGAGCCTGCTCTGGACCTGATCGTTTCATGCGTGGGCCTTCTCCATCCTGAGATACACGTGGCTGAGACTGCTTTGAGCCTGGACTCTCCATAGCCAGGTTCAGCCCTAGCAGAGCCACATCTCTGCTTCCCTCGGAAGAAACGTGGCATCTCAGGAGGCTGCTGTGATATGAGCGCCCAGAGAATGTCTCTCTCCACATCACTGGCATAGAGGGACGGGAAGCAGTGGAGAGAGGAGCTGGCAGGTTGCAGCACAGACCACACTGTGACAGGACACTTGGGGCTTGGCTCAGCGGTCCCGTTGCCCATGTGACTCTGACTCAACACCTTTCCTCTTCAGACTTCAAGTTTTGACCTGTCAGCTGAGACAGCTGGTCAAGATAATCTCCAGAAACCCTTCAGAATGTCAAGTTCCTTGGATGTTTATTCCATTTGCTTGGTTAACCTTAGTGAATTTATAACATGCTGCAGAGCTTAAGAGACCTGTTTAAGGTGACATGGCCTGATTCTAAGACATGTCTTGCCTTGTGTTTCCACATTGCCTCGTCACAGATTGAGACCATGGCTGTGGGCCATCATATCCTGCCTTGCTGGCCTAAAAGACATTGATGTCTATGGATTAAGGTCTAGGATGTACACGATCATGGGGAGGTGGCATAATCCACAGGCAATGATGCATGAGCCCTGCTCAGGGTCACCCATCATTGCACCCTGGAGCCCCGTGTACCTTCGAGGGAGGAAGAAAGGGCTGAGCAGACTTCATTCCTCTGAGCTGCAACCAAGCGTGCACAAGCACTACCAGCCTCTTGCCACCAGACGCCACCCGCCCATGGCAGAGGGTCTTTAATACCAGACCCCACTGGTTAAGTGCAAGCTGGCACGGACCCTTCCCAGGCAAGGTGCTTGAGCCAGGGAGGGAAGTGTGGCCTGAGTGTGAGCCTCCTGCTTGTGGCACTTACCCATGAGACACTCTTGAGTTGTGGAGCCTTGACACAGTCCTTCAGAGACCAGACCAAGGGACATTTGAGTTTCCTTGGCAACTTTGAGAGGCAGGGTTTCAAGATTTAATGCTTTTTGGATGCTCTTATTCCTGATGCCAAATACTTCTCGTGTGATCCCAGGGTACCCTGTCATTCACCCCAGGCCACATGCTGATGGGCTTTTGTAACTCTCTGTGACCTGGCCTTTTAAAGTTAGCAGCTAGCCTACTGTTCTACCAGCAGCTTTCAAAACGATATCTCAAGGCAATCTATAACTGGCATTAAGTAATGACTCATTTAACATGGAAAGGCTTTCTTTGGTACAGGACGCATTGACAGCTCAGTCTATGATTACAACAAAGTCCATGGTCAGGGCTGAATGTGCCTTCCTACGTCCAGGTGCTAGAAGTGTGCTCCAGGTCGCAGAAGGCTGAGAACCTGAGGAGCCTTAAAGAATGGCTGATTTACAGATGAGAAATGGATTTAGAGACAGTCACTGTCTTATTCTAAGTTATTAATGCTGGAGGAAGTTGAAGTTGTTGGCTCTAGCTCCATTTTCCCACCAAGATGTGGTTCTTCCTGAAGTGCTGTTATCTCTTCTAGCATCTGAATGGGACAGCAGACCTTCAGGAGAGCTCCTTGAAGCGAGAGCCATTCCTTTTCCTTCCCTTGTTGAGTAGGTGCATGCCATAGCACCTGCTGAAATCGGGCCATTTTTATTAGTTGCCACCACTCTCCTACCAGGCTTTCACTGGGACAAAGAAATATTTTTGAAAGTGATGGCTTGCACTATGCTGGAGCCTCACTTATTTTCCAAAAGACAGTAGTTACTGCGGGAAGGCCCATGGGCCATGGGAGGGAAAGCCTGTGAAGCAAAAATGTGATCCTCTGGGATTCTGCCTGTATGAGGGTGACATAAAATATGACCAGAATGTGAGAAGACTCTGCATTACTTGTGTTGACATCAAAAGTCTTGGGTTTCATATCCCAGCTCTGCCACTCACTCTCTGGCTAAAGCCCTGAACAAATCACTACCCTGTTCTTGTCCTCAGTTTTTGCACCTGTAAAACAATGGGCATGAATACTATTTGTTTAGCGGTCTGCCTGGAAAGATGGGCATTTGGATGCTAGATAAAGTGGATTTCACCATACTGACTTGCATCCGGGTTCCTTTTCAATCTTTTAGGAGGAAAGACTCTGGAAGCTTCTGTGTTGGCCCAACAATACACTATGGCTCTGCCCAGCCCTGAGCGTTCAAATAATTTTATGACTCACTGTATCCAGGATGCTCTGCACAAACAGAGGATACTGCATATTAGGAGTTCTAGAAAGCCCCGGATGTCCTGGTCTCTGCTGAGGCATGAAATCTCAACTCCGGAGAGATAAGCTCACTCATCAATGATCACAGCTAATAAACAGCACCATCACCATATCTTCCTCTTTCTGAGCCTCACACATGACCTCCCAGGACACAGTCACTCCGGGTTTTCTTTATGCTACCTAATTTTTTTTTAGCAAATTTGAATCTCTGGTTTGCCACGGCTCTACCACCCTTCTCTTCCTGGAGGCTTCACCACCTGGTCTCCTTGCTCAGGCTCACTGCCAAGGCAAACTGAGGCGAGTGGGGTCCACAGAGTGTAGGTACGATGCCCTTTTCCTCTTTCCACCTCTACACAAGCTCTTTCCTATACGAAGTCTTTTTCCCTGCCGCTCATCCTCCTATTCCAGAACCACTGTGCGCAGTCACTTCCTCTTGTGGGGATCCTTTGCAGTTGTGATGGTTGAGAACTGACCCTCAATGCACTCACGTTGTTCACTTTTGTGGGATTAATGGTAAAAAATGCCTTAGTCCTGCCTTTGTGATGTCTAACCTTATTTCTAAATGCCTACTGAATGAAGTCATGGAAAGTTACTAAAATGTGCCGTTCACATAACGCACTCTCCCAGTTTACCCAATACTTTAATTCAGCAAAATACAAAAGCCCCCCAGTGCTTCACCATAATGCAGGGCCCAAGTACACATCTGCAACCAGAAAGGGCAAGGACTTTTCAGTGTTCTTCAGGGCTGTCTTTAATGGTTGTATCATTTATATACTGCTATCCTAAATGATTTAAGCTCAAAATGTATACATTACTATAATATTAAATTGGATTTTGTGGCATAATTGTTTAACCCTATAGTTTATGATCTGGGGTAAACTTTTCAAATTTGATTTGAACGTACATGCATTGTGATTGCAATGCATGGCATTTATACATTTAATTCTGAAGCAAACTTCTTCCAAATCTATGTGCATTGTGGCACTTCTATTTATTTATTTATTTACTTATTTTTATGCATGTGGTATACGGTCTCACTATGCAGCTCAGACTCCTAGTGATCTTCCTGTTTTCAGCCTTCTCAGGGCTGGGATTATAGGCATGCGCCACCAGGTCCAGACACAGTGGCCAGCTCAGCTCACCTGGTAGGTGAAGCTGGTGTGGCATGTGGTGCCAGGGATCGAACACTGGTCCCTGTGCTTGCCTAAGCAGGCACTTAGTCCGCTAAATTATCTCACTAGTCCTCATCATGATACTTCTGTTACCATAAATTTCTCTAAAGTTGGGCCAGCAGATAAATCAGGAAGAAGGCAGCAACCAGAAGAACTTGGGCACAGGGCTCCTTGGAAGAATACCTTACTCTGTCCCATAGCCTTTATTCTTTGTCTCATGTCATCTTGATAGCCCAGTAAGTACTGAGGACAGGGTACCATTTTTCCTGATGTTCCTAGTACACATGCACACTGTTAGATGAAAAACCTGGGGTGAAGCAAGCAGACCGAGACAGAGAAGAGGAAGAAGGGCTTTTGGGCAGACAGAGTAGGCCAAGGGCAGACACGGTTCATGTGAGGTGTAAGGCTAGGACTCCCTTTACTCTTCAAGATATCTTTTAAGAAACAACTGAAACATCTTCCCGCTCAACTGTCTATCAACAGCAAAAAGGCAGACATAGGGCCCTGGGGCTGTGGGTGAGAAACCCTAAAGTAGGATGTGGAAGATAAGGTACCTGGAAGGCAGGTCGGCAGGCTTCTCCCCAGCACTTCATTTGTCCAGATCCCTTGGGCAGAGCAGGTGTATATTCCTGGCGAGAAACGGGGAGAGGAGAGAAAGTACATGACTGATCCGGAGCACGCAGAGAAGGGAATTGGGTTCTGAGGCTGTCACTTGGCAGCAGTCTTCCAAATGGCCTCTCATACTGCTTCTCTGAGCGGGTTCTCTCTGCAACCTGAAGGGTCTCTCTGAAATTGGGATCGGACCATGTCCTCCTCAGCTCGGAGTCACTGGTGCATCCTTACGGTCTTCACAGAGAAGCACCCCCCTTTTTGGTAAAGTGCTGTGCAGCCTGACTTCCAGCTGCATGGAGCCCATCTGTCCCCCACCCAACCCAGTGTTCCTTCCTCCCCCGGGCAGGTGCCTCCCATGCACTAGCCAGAGAGACCTTGGTTCATCAGCTCTCTGCAACCCATGTACCCTACCTCCTCCTTTTCATTTAACTCTGCCATAAGCCACATTGGTGTCTGTGGTCCTATGGAGTAGCACAACAGCTCTGTGATCTGCACTGCTATTTCCTTGTGACAGTGAGGATTTGAAGATGCAGAGAAGCTAGGAGACATTCCCTAGTGCTTGCATGCCACCGAGGCAGGGGGGATGGGTTTTCCATCTCTCTGAGGCTTCCTGAGCATGTCGGGGTACCACAAAGCCTCATTCTTGGGAGAAGTGGGCATGTGTCCAAGTGGCTGTCCCTCCAAACCTTCACCATAGGTGTGATTACTGGTGGCCCTTCACCCTTTGGCCCATAGTGCTTCTGCCCAATGTCTGGGGCAGCCTGGGCCTCCCTGCTTAGTGGTGTGGTGAGGTACAGATGAGGACAGCACAGCTGTGCTTCAAACTTGGTCAGGGAATGCACTGAGCCACCTGTCAACAGACAGCTCTGCCCCTCACCCCTCAATTCCATCCTGTGCCTACTGGAGAAACAGGTCTTTGAAGGACTCCTTCGAGGCTTGCCAATGGCTCTGCTCCTGCCAGACATTATAGTTGACTGGCAGAGACTGTCTGAAGTTGCAGTCCGGGTCATTTCCTGGAAAGCCCTGCTCAGTTTCATACCATATGAATGAATTTATTTGGGAGAACTTGGGCTTAAATTTTTTTTTACTGCTCTTTGTTGGGTCCTGCTCCACCAACTAGATCTGTGCTCATCAGTAGAATCAGTGTTAGGGGGCTGGTGAGATGGCTCAGTGGTCTAAAGCACCTACTTAGAACAAGCTTACACATGGACCGCAGTTCAATCCCCCAGCACCACATGCCAGCCAGCTCTGCCCCCTGGTGGGCAGAGCTGGACACACACACACACACACACACACACACACACACACACACACAAATAAATAAATAAATAACGGTGTTAGGGAAGAAGACTGGGTCTTGGTCCTGAGATTCAGGGTCCCCATCTCTAAGTACACTGTTGACACTGGCTCTTGGGCAGTGAACACCAGGTGAGAACACTTCATGCATCACAGGGTCCCATGGACCTGTGCCTGCTATTACTAAAACAGCTGTTCCAACTCCCAGCCTGATGCTGGGGACCAGAAAATGGGGAGGAACATGGTAATTCAGGATGGAGAACTTACCTGTGATGTTGTGAAGCATCTTGTAATAGGGCTGCTGGCAAGAGAATCTGATCTCAGACTGGTAAGTGGTGAGGTTGTTCCTCGTGGAGAAGGTAACCAACCCATGTTCCAGCTCTGCTGGGGCTCCACAGTCTACAACTGAGAGAGAAGTGAGGCCCTTTAGTTGTCTTCTGCATGTTATCTTAGTGCCATTAGACAGATCTGTCTTATACAGATGTGCAGGTTACGAATCACATATTAATTATCACTATATCCAGAGTCCTGGGAGAATTTCTGGTAACAAAATATGTTTCTAGAGTCCCAGTCAAGCAGCGTTATAGTAGCCAATCTGGGTGGTGCTCATGGGATTGTGTAGTGTACAACTTACACAGCCACTCGTGGCCTTGCTTTTGGAGTTTTTCCACTAGGAGGCTACTATCTGATCAACTCACCTGACACGAGGTCACTTTTAGGACAGGCACAGGTCTGCAGAGACAGGAGGAGACCCTCATCTCCTCTGCAACATATCCTTTCCTCAGCTTCCAGCCGTATTATGTAATTTCCTCTGCTTATTTTGCCCAAGCTTGAAACCCATGACTCAGAAAGAAAATTCTGGGTGAAATGAACCAAAAAATCTTCTGTTCTTTTAGTCCCAACCATAGGCTACTTATGAGTAGTTAAAGTGCATATGTTGGAGCTTGGTGCACGCGCGTGTGCGCGCGTACACACACACACACACACACACACACACACACACACACATCAACCAAACAAAACTACATAGGCTCTTCCAGCATGCGTAGACAGCCATTCCTGGCTGCCTCTGCTTGGCCATAGAAGGCAGGAGAGGGTCTGAGTGGACCAACTTCTACGCTTCTCCTGTTCACTTTCTCCAATTTTTGGTGGCTGAGTGTTGCTGTTGGCTTTACTCACACTACTGAATGTAACCAAAGATTCCTGTTCTCCTCTTGGGTTTTGGGGTGCTTGCTAGTCCAGTCAGCTCTCAGGGAGCTGGCAGCACTGGTGGGGTTTGGTGTGAGTCAGCCAGATGCGGTGCATCTTTTCATGGCTTTGTTAGAGGCTGAAGGTCTGATTTACAAAAGGCTTTTCAGGAGCCTCATTAGGAACTATCTCTCTCTCCTAGCTTTAGGTATTAACAGCCTAAGGCAGGTTTCAAGAATCAGAGGAAAACTGGAATTTTATAAGTGGAAAGGGACCCTCAATAGGCAATCTAGAATATTCTCTTATTCAGATAAACCCAGAGAGAAGACTTGACTTTTCTAAGGTCACCAGTGTGTCAGAGGGAGTACTAGGTCTACTCTTGAACTCAGTGCCTTTTTAATAAATGGTGCTGATATTTTCTGAGGATCTGTTTTCCTGCTAAAGGGTGTATATTTGATGTTATCTGGCTTTGTGGTGGACATTAATTGTCGCTATTTCCAGAGTTCTGGTGTAAGTTTGAAATTCTACCTCCCCCTGATTTCAACTTCTCAGCTAGGAAATAGAGGTGCAGTTTAACATTGTGCTAAACATTGTGTTTTTAGCTTTAGGATTCCTAATTCATCCTTTTCATCTTTAGGGAATTATCTAATTTAAATGTGTAGGATTTCAGGACCTTATGGTTTGGAGAGAAAAGATTCAGGAAGGGAGTAAATGTATGTACTTCTCATCTTCAAGGGAGACAAAAGAGGGCCAGCCAGATAGCTCAGTGGACTAAAGTGCCTGCTTAGGCAGAGCGCAGTGGCCAGGGTTCGATCCTCTGTGTGCTGTGCTGGCCCTGCCCACGGGGTACGCTGAGATGGTGATTGAGACTAGGCATGGTGGCGTGCACAAATAATCCCAGTGCTTAGGAGGCTGAAAATAGGAGAATCACTACAAGTCTGATCTATGCGGTGAGACTCTGTACACCTTGTACTAAATACATAAAAAAAGAGGAAGGCAAAAGCCACAACACACACAAATGAACTACAAAGCAAGCGAACAAACAAGTGTTTTCTTCCTTGGCTTCTAACTTCTATGGAAAAATCATTTTCATTTGCTTTGCTCACCCAAAAGCACAGACACCCTTCTACTTTATGAAGTGCATGCATAGAAGTTAGTATTAGAGCAAGACAAATAATATTTATTATTTGAAACTACAAACAATCTTAAATTTATTTTCCTGCTCATACTCAAGGTAGAGTTTTCCTCTTCTTTAGGAAATTCCACTGGCCAACGCCTTGATATTGGATTGCTCTTATTTCCTTTAATGTTTTCTGGAAGCTCCTTTGCTGTAAAGTACCCTTGAGATCCAACTGCCTGGTTCCTAGATGAATTCCACGGCTACCCCTGGGCTTGTGTGGCTGAGGCTGGTGGAGAGATATTTTCTTGGCAGAGAGCATGATTTCACATGGCTCCGGGGAAGTGATTCTACTCAGTGATAGATCTGGTTCTAAAACCAGAGAAAGAGGTTGGTAAGCCCTGGAACGCAGAGGGTCATTTCTATCTGGTTGCAGCACATGGGGAAGGGTAACCTTCTTCCCACAGGTACAACAGCAGGCAAAGAGCCTTCTCGTTCTGGGATGCGGAGGCTACTTCCTTCGCTAGGGCCCTGATCGTGCCTGGTACAGTCAGCACAAGTGAGCTTCTATGTCTCAGCCAGCCCACCCTTGCATCAGGAAGGATCTCCTGCTTTCTTGTAAAGCTTTCTCTGGTGCTTTCCATAGTCTGGAATCAAAATGCCTGCTTTTTCCCATTTCCTTGTCCTTTTCTGCTCCTCTAGTATGTCTTTGTGGTTGTCACTTGCCTTTTATCCTTCTTAGCATGCAGCTCTGAGGTCTCCATGGAGAAATACACACATTCATCTGTCACTGCCTCTCAGGACCAGGCATTAAGCACTGGGCCTCTGGACAGCCTCACCTTCTTCTGTCCCCACATACACTTCAGTGGCCTTTCCATGGGCCACCTTCTGCTGCCTCTGCTTTCTGGATTTGCTGAGATCATCACCACTGCCTGAGACACCCCGTGTCCATGTAGTCATCCCTCAGGTCTTGATCAAATGCTACTTCTTCAGAAAATCATTTCTAATTCTTCTGACTGGACAAGTCATCCTCCGTGTTCCAGAATTATCTCCCATGGCCCTCTCTGATGGTACCTGTCTTACATTGCCTGGCATTGCAACTATTTGGATACATGTGAAATCTCCCTCTGCCACGAAGATTCCCTCTATCACTATGAGTGTGCGAACATTCATGCTGTGTGCGTGCACAGACATTTTTCAGCTGGCACTGGTCATCAGCAGCCAAGGATATCCCTATGCTAGGATGGCACCTCACCCCCTGGCCTGCTCTATAGGCATGCTGGTAGTATCCTGCCCTCACCAAGCGGCCAATTACTGGCTCTTGGTAGCTGGAGAGTTTCAGTTGAATGCAGAAGTCCTCAGAGATGCATGTCCAGACCTCACGTAGACTGGATCAGAGCTTCTGACATGCAGGCTCCACAGTCCTTCACCATTTATGCCATAGGCATGTCCACAGAGCCAGCCCTGGGGCCCAGTGCCTTCACAGGTGATGCTTGTTTTTTCAAATACTTTAACCAGCAAATTTTAAGAAACACAAAACTCACAAACCCCAGAGGAGAGAACCTCTAATAACAGATTTTCAGCCCTGTGTGAAGTATGAGCAGAGCGGATACTTCTGTGAACGAGAGCATATACAGATTCCCCTAAATCCATACTACTGGGTTATTATTCATTTTACCTACTCATGATTGTTAAGGAAGTAGCAACAGATGCAGATTTTAAAGTCATAAAGTCATTGACATTTTGGGTCACTTGCATTTGAAGTGTGGAGTGGATTAGAAACCAAGGCCCACATCAGTCTGGTTGGCCAAAGGTTGCTTGATGGTGTGTGAAACCTTGTGTCTCTAACTGACAGTTATTTGCTTTGAGAAGAGTCTAATCCATTTAGAGGGCCTAAAAATTGTTCATCGTCTTTTTGTTACTTTCTGAAGCAATGTCTGAAGGACTAGTGAACCCTCAAAGGTTAATTGTTCTCAGGCATCCAGCAGCTTCCACTGCTGAGATGTATTGCTCAGTTCAGCATCCATGCTGATCCACACCACAACGGGCAATGGGGTGCTGGCAGGCCGGGAGGGGTGGGGTAGCTCTGGGGCCCCGGGTCTTTGAGATGGATCCATTCCTGGGTGTCTGCACTGTGTGGGATTTCCATCATTCATCTGTCACTCGCTCTGCCTGGAGCTCGCTCTCCAAATCAGTCTCGCTTTCTGGCACCATGGTGGAGTCAGAGTGGAGGCAGGAGACAGAGGAAGGAATCAGAGAGAGGAAGAGAAGGAGAGAGACAAAGAAGGGAAAGAGAAAAATTAGCAAGCAAAGCAGAAATAGTTGATGCAGGAAATAGGGAAATCACTCCACCAGAATTGATTGAGAATGCACAGTTTAGGGACAGCCAGTGTAAAGGAGAGTCTGGGATTGTTGAATTTGTAGCATTCTAGAGTCCACACAGTCATATGCCCTGGCTCCTTGGGAGGGCAGCATGAAATTCTCCCTTGTAGGGAAGTTTGCACTCATTAGGTCCAAGTTCTCCTGCGATGGAGAACATTGAGTAAAACAGGTCTTGCCTTTACATCAAGGTGGAGGTGGACCAAGAAAACAATGCAAAGTTGCCACTTCCTGTTCTGGTGCACGCGTATTTATTACTTACTGCACAATTTTATCTATTCCTGGCCCCTTCCTCCAGCACCCCTGGGACTCTCAGCCCACTATGAAGAAGTAGAGTCATCTTTTCTGTTCTTTCTTTTTTTCCCTTCTTTGTTACTGTTTCTTTCAGTGCTGGGAACTGAATCAAGAACTTTGCACATCCAAGGCAAGTGGCCCACCACTGAGCTGTAGCCCTAGGGTCATATTTTCTTGAAAGGACAGAGAATTCTATTACATCCTAATATAACTCATAAAAATAGTACTTTTCATTATGGTAGTACCATGCTTCTATCATTGCTTTCATTTTTAACAAAAAGCATGTGTCTCATCAGGGAAAAATAATAATAACATTCCCTACTTTCCAAAAGGGAAAATGAGAGACACGCATCCTCTCCCTGATGAGTGAACTGGGCCAGATGTAGAGAGGGAGAAGCTTTTATTGAGCAGTACTCGTACCTGGTCCTCTGGAGGTGTGGTGTGCATATCTACCTGGTTAGTTCTCAGAACACTCTTGGGGTCAGGAGACTGAGGCCGAAAGAGTCTGAGTGGCTGCCTTAGGGATACTCAACTCATAGGATCTGGCTTTGAATCTGGAACTTCACTATTGTACAGCTGGATTCTGCCCTAAACATCTCAAATCTTTTACTTCCTTCAAAATGACTTTTGCTTTCTCCTGCGGTTCCTGGCTTAGGTCCCAGTCACAGCATGTGTGTTAAGCTGGTTGTGTTGGGCTTGAGCTCCTCCAAGCTGGATCTGATCTTTCCCACCTGATTCTCAATAGAACTCTGCTCAGGCATGCATTCAATGTTAATGCAGACTTTTCCTTTAGAGTCATAAAATTCCTTTGTTTTCCCACTCTGGATCCTGACTCTAGCCACATCATCATATAAAGAAGAAAGACAGGCATGTTAGGCTTCTAAATTCTGCCTGAAATTTGTTCTAAAGAAGTCCTCCTGTCTACCAGTATCCTCTTTGGTAGGAGCCATTTAGGAGGAAGAGAATACGACAGCACACCAAAGCCTACATGAGGAGTGGTGACGTGGGGATGAATGGGACCAACCCTAATTCTTGACTTCTTGTTCTCAAGCCATTTCTTTCCTTCCCTGACTTAGGCTGTCACTGTACTTCATTTCATCACTATTACCCAATGTGACTTTCTAAAACTATAGTGCACACAGTTCTTGCACTGAAATCTGTTGGGTGAGAAGGGAGAGGAGTTAGTAGGTATAAATTATATTTTTATGATGGTCAGTAAAGGATTTATATGGGCTATATTATTTTAGAGCCATTGCCATACATTGGTGGCAGTACAAACTATCTTACAGTTGAGATAAAAGATCTTGCCCATGGTCAAAGAGGGCGTTAGGAGTACAGCCGAGGTACAAACTTTAGGCCTCAAGAGCAAGTAAATAGCTGTATCTCCTCACTTCCTATTGGGCCACTGTGCTGGCCCAAGAGCCACATCACACAGCCCTCTGTGGATACAGAGGATGGCCATGTAGATTAAAGGATGACTCAGCCCTGGGCACCATTGCCAAACTGGTTTCCTGAGTTAGCAATTGTCAAAGCTCGATTTCAATCTGGCAAAGCTGCTATTTCTTTAGTAAGTTTGGCAACCTTTCTGGAGATGGAGGTAAAACTTAATATTTAGAAAGTAAACTGGGGCCCACAAAAGTTTGCTTTGAGATCCCATGTGTTGTTGCAGGAAGGGACATTAGTGTCCTTTTTGTCTAGCTCTCCTGGGTCTCTTGAATTCCTGCCTGTGTCCCTCTTAGACAGCTCCTGTCAAGCTTTTTCCATGGGTGGTCTCTGTTCCCAGCCCACCAGCAGAATGGAATGAATCATCCTTATGTTGAACCCATTTGGTTTCCTTACTCTTACAGGTGGGTATCTTACTGCTCCAGGTTCCATCCTTCAGACACTCAATCTGCAGTGTGTCCATCACCACACCATCCTGAGAAGAAACCAGAAGGCAAGGAGAAAAGGGGAGTGGGGTCAGTGGTTGTTTTCCAGGGAAACAAACTCATACTCTAAACATTACTGAACCTAACTGGGATTTTCCACACATGGGCCTCCAACAACAAGCTTGAGGCGCAGGGTAAGATAAACAATGAATTCCACAGCCCATTTTATATTCTGGAAAAGGGTAAAAGTCATGTGATTGAGGGTCTGGGGCAATTGTAAGAGAGAGAGAGCCATAGTCTTGACTCCTGGTCTTAAACTTGAACAAACAGTCAACATCCCCCGGAGGGCTTGTTAAGACAGACTGCTTAGCCCTGCCCCAGGATCTCTGATGCAGTGGGTTGATCTACCTAAGAATTTGCATTTCCTGCAAGTTTCCAGGTGATGCTGGGCCTGCCAGTCCAAGGCCCTTCTTGGAGTACCATAGAGACCAGTGGTCCTCGAGCCTAACTGAGCTTTACGTTCACCTGGAGAACATGTAAAACATACTGAGCACTGGTTCAGTTTCAGATGCTCCTTTAGTTGATCTGAAGTGAGATTCAGGGGATGATTTGCTTTAGTTTCAACTAGAAGAACCAGTGCCTGTCTGCTTCCTTTCAAAACTTGACTTCCCTTTTCTGTACCCCGCTCTGCGCTCAGAGGCCTGATGAACTATGTTCAAGCCCTGATTAGAGGGCTGTATGGATTGATACTTTTAACAATCAAGCCAGCTCATCCTCTGATAAAAGATTTTACTTCCACTTCTAGAAGTGAGAGAAGCCTGGCACATATGCATTAAGATTCTGGAGCATTTGGGAGGCTCATAGGGTGGTTAGGGAATGCCACGCCAGCACTGTGGCAAGTTCCGACAGCCCATTTGCCTTGGAAGGCTCTGGAGAGCTTCTCTGGCCTGGCCACTGCTCACCTTCAGCACTTTGTAGCCTGTGTCACAGCTGACGAGCACTTGGTCTTTGAAGGAGTATGTGGTTTGCAAAGGCTCGATTTTCCCATGGGCAGGAGGACGTAGCTCTGGGCACTCATTTCCTGGTGGGAAGCAAATGAAAAGACAGCAGGTGAGAAAACAAGGAGCAGTCTGCAGTACAGTCTGAAAGCAAGGCCGGAAGAGGGAGAAGCAACAGAAATGGCCGTGGAGGGCTGTCTAGGTCCTGTAGGAGACTCACTCTGAAGCCCGGAGCAAATCAATGTCTGACTCCCTCTCATTTCCATACTGGTGAAACTAGGCGGTTGGCCAAATGATTTCATTCAGGCTCAGCATTGCAAAGGATATTAAAGCTCACTGAATGCAACTCCTTCGATGCTTTCTTGATGATGCCCTCCATACTGGCACCCATGTCTGTTTGCATTCCTGTAGTGACCAGGAGCTAAGTCTTTCCCATGCCTGCACCCTCCACCCATGGAGTCCCCTGATGAATAGAACATTATTTTCTTATTCAGCTGAAATTGGTGCCCTTGTAAGTTTTACCCACTGTGCCACCAAGTCATTGCAGTTAGCCTTTCTTTCCTACCTGTTCTTCAAAGCATTTGAGGGGGAGGGTCACATGTCTCTGAGTCCTCTCTTTAAAGGTGAACTATGACAAGATCCTCTAGGCCTGGGCCTATCCCTGATACTTTTTCCTAGAGAAACTCTTTTGTTAGCTTTCTGTCCACTCCTGTCCCCAGAGTGGGCACTAGAAGAGGTGAGGCAGTCAGAGCCAGGGCCTCAGGGTCTATGTAACAGACCAGTGGTGATGGGCTAGGGTCCGCCCTTTCTCCTTGAGTGCACAGACCTCTGGGGTCCAATGGTTCTGTCTGAGTTTGGCCAGGACTGGCTGCTTTGGAACATGTGCAGTAGGACTTTTGTGCTTTGCCAGTCTGGGGGCCTGTAAGGAGGTAAACCCCTGTAATCATACATTCTGGGGATAGGCCATACCCAAATTCCTGTCCCAGATTTAGAGAGGGCTGGGTCTGGAAGCCATTCTTTGGGCCTCATGGGTCATCATGGAGGGGCTGAGGGCTGGTTCAGGAAACAAGATTTCTCTCTTTCATCTCTCCACACAATGCTGAAGCATGGCCAGTTGTAAAACCTACCCATCTAGCCCAAGCACATCACCACTCCCCTAAACCCCTTTTATCGGTGGGAAACTAAGTCAGGAGGGAGTACATGGCTTGGTCTTACATCACTTGGCCAGGAGTCCCAAAGGTGCCCAGAGAGTTCTTGGCTGCACACACTCTCCCATGACCTCCCTCCTCATGAGGCTGAGCCTAGAAGTTCAGTGAGACCTAGCAGGACAGATATTACCTGCAGCCCTGTACGAGAGCCTCCAGCCCCGGTTTTCACCCGAGTTGTCGCTGTGGAACAGGATCTGGACATTGTGGCTCTGGGTACTAATGGGTTCTGGTGCTTTCTCCCCACAGAAGGGCCCCAAAACACGGGGGCCAGCTTTAATCTGAGAAAAGCAATACAGACAAAGAAAAGAGTTACATCTGATTGACAGGAGTAGCACTAGTACACTGCACTCTGGGATTTGCCAGCAACCTTGATGGGAATCTATGGTGTTCACTTGTGTTCTTAGTAGGTCTTGCCAGCCACCAAACAGTTTTGTTTCTACTCTCTTGCTTAGAATTTATAATGAGCTGGCAGTGGACAAGTTAATCTTCTGCTTAATGTTGAATGAATTGCAGCTCAGAGAAGGACAGAGCCTTGTCCAGCAGAAAAATAAAAGGTCTCTGCTTTCTATGGACCTGCAGGGTAAAAGGAGGAGATCAACAATCAATGATCCACAAAGGTGATAGAATTGTATGCTATATATTTAAAATTCATTGGTTGACATCTACACAATCTAGAGCCTCCATCATTTGTATAGTATAAGTAATGTAATAGCTAACTTTACATAGGTGGTCAGGTCGGGCTTTCTGATATGACAGAAAGAGTAGGGGCCTGTTGGGTGCAGAGAAGGACATGCACTTTCTATCCAGAGAAGGCAGCATATGCAAAGATCAAGGGCAAAGGTGGAAGAGAACTTGGAAGGCAGGAAGCTGTTGACTGGGTCTGAGGGAGTGGCATGAGCTGAGGTGGGAAGGGCAAGTGAGGACCATGCTGGGGAATTTAGGTTTAATTCAAAGTACAATCATGATTGAGTCATTTTAACTGTGGATGCTATGGGAAAACTAATTGTAGAGTAAGGCTGGAAGCAAGACAACCAGTTGGGAAGTTTTATATTTGAACCGGAGAGGAAGTAGGGTTTGGATGCAGTGTAGCAGGAAAGAAGTCAATAACTGATCCAAAGACCCCAGCTACAAGTCCTGGGTCCTTCCTGTATGTTTGACCCTTTCTCCTTCTGTCTCTAAGGACCAGAATTCTTTAGCTGGAATTTGTTGACTTCTACAGTCCTGAGTGACATCTCTTGCATTTCATGGAGAGGGAGGAAAAGTGAACCTTTAAAATGTTTAGTGCCGAATAAGGCTCCCATGAGAATCTCCTGGGGCGCCATGTGTGGTAACCAAAGTTTTAGAAGATCTCTATGGTATTCATACTTGGTGTGATTTGTGATTATAACATAATGTGAGTATATTATACATCCCTAGCAAAAGAGGGTTTTCGAAGAGTGACACAGAGGAACCCGAGTGCAGCCTCTAGACACTGAGAGAGACCCCCTGCCGACAATCAGCTAGAAGACGTGAATGAAATTCTGCCAACAACTTAAACAGGTCTAGAAGCAGATTCTTCCACAGAGCCTTGAGGCCAGAGCCCTGTCCAGTCGACACCCCGATTTCAATCTCACGTGACCCAAAGTAGAGAACCCAACTGGGCCCACTGTTAGTTCGGATCTACAGATCAGAGCAGTGAGGATTGTTATAGGTTACTACAGTTAGCCACACAGCAATAGAAGCCTATGCCCTTTGCTCTGCCGTCCCACCTGCAGCCACGCTGCCTCTTAGCCTCTGAGTCTAGAAGGGCAATCCAGGCTCTAAGTTCTTGAATTTTTTTCATGCATTCTTAGCTATCTATGCTTCTCTGGGTTGTTGACAGCTCCTTCTTCTGTACCTCATTTTATGCCTCTTCCTGACCTCATTTGTGGGGTCCCTTCTTCTGTCTCCCTCCTTCAATTTATTGTGCTATAGCTGGCATCTATTCCTTCTTCAGGGAAGCTCTTTCAGCATTTGCATGGTTTACCCAGCACCTACTTATGCACATGGTGGGACCCACTTTTCTCCCAGCTCACCCGTCTCTCCTGAGATCAGACCCCAATATCCACTTCTACTTCAATGTCGCAGCTGGCCACTCTCTGAGAATTGCTGATTTGAGTTCCCACATATCTAAAATATACCTCTCCTGCTATTCCAGGCAAGGCTTGATTTCAGGCTGCCTTTGCTTCTCAGTTATACTATTGGGATAGTCATAATTTGGATAGATATAGGCCTGTGGCATTTTAAAAATTTCTTTACTGGTTAGGTATATAACCTCTGTCCCAAAGCAGGACCAGCTGCACAATTATGGGATCCAGTGCAAAATGAAAATGGGAATTCCTGGTTGGGATTACATTAAGAAATACAAGGGCGGGGCTGGTGAGATGGCTCAGTGGTCTAAAGCACCTACTTAGAACAAGCTTAGCAAAGCACAGGGACTGCGGTTCAATCCCCCAGCACCACATGCCAGCCAGCCCCGCCCCCTGGTGGGCTGAGCTGGCCACACACACACACACATAAATAAATAAAATTAAAAAAAAAAAAAAAAAGAAATACAAGGGAGCATCCATGGAGCATTAGAGCATGAACGTTTCTGAGTATGGGGTCCTAGGTGACCACAAAGGCTGCGCATCTGTGAACGGAGGCTGCCTCCAAGGGATCTTTCCAGAACACACACTTGACCTTGTGATTCTCTAATTCAAATCACCCTGGTGGGCAGGGTGTTAATTTTGTTTTGGGAAAGATTCTTAGGCTGGATCTGATTTAGCTGGTAACTGTATTTTAAGTAATTGAGCGGGGGCGGAGGGAAGGCTGCTTGGATCCCTATCCTGGGACAACATGAAAAGCTCAAGATGTCAATTTTCCCAGTTCAGTCCAGAATTCCCAGCATGCCCAGAATAAGTGTCCATCACAAGCTCACCTTGATGAAGTCGTAAGGGCAGGGCACCTCAGGATGGTCCTCAATGTCAAAAATGTCCTCAAACTGCAGGCTGACCATGAAGCCCTCCTCCAGTTCAATGGTGTAGAAGCATTCAGAGCTCTTGGGGTAAGGGTTGGGGTAGTCGGGGCTGGTGATCAGGCCGGTCCTCTGGGTAAAGAGGTTGTCACTGCACTCCACTGTGGGAAACATACGGAGAAGATGGCACACCAGAGTCATTGCCACAGCCAGCCTTTCCTTGTCTGTTGCCCTGTGCTCTTGCTTGTGGCCCCATGAGGTAGGCAGGTAAGGAATCAGCATCCCCCCTTCACAAATGGAAGACTGAACCTCGCTGGGGGAGGTGGGATGCCTGGTAAGCTGCAGTGAAGACTCCAATGCAGAATTTCTAAGCTTCACCCAGCACCACTTACTGTGTGCCAAGCCTTCTCATCAGATTCTTTAGCTTAGCTCTTGTTGGGAGTAGGTAAGGACTCTCAGAAGGGAGAGTTTTGAGATTGAGTAGCCATGGGGGGGGAGTTTTGGCTCTGCTTGGCCTTGTTTTCCCTTTTGCCCAGATTCATTTAGGTCTCTGCTCAGATCCTGCCTTGCCTTGATTCCTATCTAAGACAGGGCCCTCACTCTCCACCACTGTCCCTCCTTTGCTTTCTTCACAGTGCTGTCTACTGCTGGGCCTGAGGTCACAGTCACTTGGTGTCCTTGCTCCTGCTAGACTGTCAGTTCTACGAGGCCAGCTGTGTTTGCCTTCCGTTTAATACACCAAGGACCCAGTGTCCAAGCATTCTCATGGGAGCCTGGCCATGACTCGGCCATGTGGGGAGCCTTTGTCATTGAACTGGTGCCCTTGGGCTGACCCACACAAGGGCAGGGCTGCATATTCATGCTTTCTGAGCCTTTGTTCATCTCTGCTCATTTGCAAATGAGAAAACTGTAGCCCAGCAAGAGAGGCATGACTAACGGGAAGTCCCCAGCTGTGAGCTGCAGAAGGCTTAGATTGAGGCATCCTGAATTCTCCTTTGTTTCCATTTTCCACCATAAGCAATCCCATGGGGCTAATCCTCACCCTGAAAGGGCAGGAACTGGTCCTTCAGGGATGAGCTCTTAATCTTATGTGCAATGCATAGGTGGATGTATAGAACATAAATACATGCACTATGTATTTGTAGTAGCAATAAAAGGGAGGCTCCTAGGGGCAGGGGTAAAAGAAAATATTGAGAAGCCTTGCTCTACTTCAGTTTTTGTAGGCTGTACTCTACTCAGCCCATTGTGTATACCTAATTCTTACTGAATAAAATATAAACCTATAATCTTGTATGTTTCTTCTGTTTTATATTGCATTATACTGATAGGTAAGGTAAGTTTTATTCTGAAACAAGTTTCACTTATGAAAGAGAAAGAAAACTGTCTTTAGCCCTGCCCTCCTCCACTGATTGCTGATTGAGTTTTCAAGTGAAATCCCTCACCCCATCCCGCTAAGTTCCCAGGAGTTCCCCAAATGTCCCAAATTTGAGCACACCTTGAGATACTTGAGAAGCTGTTGTCCCTGGATGGAATCCCCTCTTTCTCCTAGCCTTTTATCCCCACCAATCTGTGGGAAGCGTATGCCCACTTCTCCAGCCCAGCTCAGGTCTGATTGCATTGAATCCACACTTCCTTTCTATCAAGGTAGTGGAGATCGCCTGTGCTGCATCTAACAGCTTGCTTTATGTGGTCATGAGCGCTTTGAAAGAGGCTTCTTCCTGCAGAGTGGCAGAGCCCTTCTGTGGGTTCAGCCGACAGAACAGAATGCCACCTTGAATGACAGCACTGTTGGCAAAGGGTACTGGGGAACACCCTGCTATGTGTGTCTGGTTGGGCCGTAAAGTTGCAGCTTTGGCAAGATCTGGCCCCTACCCTTTTCTTTCTGGCACTGCTCCTCTGCTTTGCTTCTGGGCTACCACAAACTTAGCAGTTTTGCTTCTTTATACTCTTCCATTGTGCCTTGTTCTGCATTGGAGCCAACAAGCTACGGATGGAAACTCCCAAAACCATGAGCTAAGTTACACCTTTCCTCCTTTCACTTGTGGGCATTTGATGCTGTGTCTCATCTAGAGTAAAGAGGATGCATTCACGTTCCTCTTCTGTGTCCCTTACCCAGCCCAAGGTCACAGTAGAGGGGCCCCAACGTTGCAAGATGAAAATAAAGATAGGAGAAATGTGATCTTTTCTTTCTGTGTCCATCTTTGTTTCTTTCATTTTTTTCCTTTGGACTGAGATTCTCACTTTCACAGATGAAAGGCCATAGAAGCAAAGAGAAAAAGGAGCTGCTGGGAGGCATGGTTTATGGCTCAGAAAGAAAACACTGAAACGCAGGTTTCTCCCAAACTTTACCAAGTCCAGTAGGAGCGGGGTCAGGGACCTCTGGAGCAGAATTCTGTCCAGGAATAAAGGCATAAAGACAGCCTGATAGTCAGAGCTTCTCTCATGCACTGTTTGGAGAACTGACACCAGCCTCCCAGGCGGTGGGCATCTCAGCATTTGCACGCAGGTACAATCTGAGCTGCCTCTCCACCTCCATCTTTAGGTGATCGTACCGAGTCTCTGTCTTTCCTCTGAGCTTCATACTGGAACATGCAGCACATCATAGCCGTGCACAGAGATGTCCCCGAGCCTTACCTCGACAGGTCCTGTTGTCCGTGTGGAGGATGTAGCCAAAGCGGCAAGAGCAGTAGTAGCCACCGATGTAGTTGTGACAGTAGTGGTCACAGGACAGCTCCTCGTCCTCCCTCTCCTTGCACTCGTCCACATCTGCAGGGCAGGTACCTTTCAGTCAATGCACGCATGATGCTAGAGACAAGGACTGACACGCACAGCGCACTCCGGGGAGGTGCTCATTAGCTACCCAGGCTCTCATGCTTGCTCTCATTTGGTCTTTATACAGTGCCCAGGGGTGGTCATTCTCTGCCTTTCGCAAGCAAGGAAACCAGAACTCTGAGTAGTTAGGCAACTCACCCAAGATAGCAGCCAGTCAGGCTCCATCCCAGACAACTACACTCATGGTAGAAAAGGCTTCGTTTACAGTGGCGGTAAGCATTGTGCCAGGAAAAAAATCTTAGGAAGCAGGATTGTTACTGTCCTCAGCTTGTGGATGATGAAACTGAGACCCAGAGAATCCAGGTGGGCTGGCTTCAGAGCTTGGGGCTTTTAACTTCTACTCCATGTTGTCTGTCTGTCTTTCTTTTCTTTTCCTCTTTCCTTTCCTTTCCTTTCCTTTCCTTTCCTTTCCTTTCCTTTCCTTTCCTTTCCTTTCCTTTCCTTTCCTTTCCTTCCTTCTTTTTCTATTTCCCTCTAACATGGGTCAAGCCCTATCCTAGGTATTTGAATATACATATCTCCTAAGGAGCATATGAATGACCAAAAATCACATGAAAATATGCATGCCACAGTCATCAAGGGATGCGATTTAAACCATAATGAACTACCACTGCATACCTACCACAGTGGCTAAAATTTTAAAAACTGGCAACATTTAACATTGGTGGTGATAAGGAGCAGCCACACATTGGTGGACATGTATAGGATGATGTCATTGGTTGGAAAAAGTCTATTTTTTTTGTTATAAAACTAAACATAGCTACCTCATAATCCTCTAATTCTATGCCTAGCTATTTACCCAAAGAAATGAAAACATGTTCACAAAAAGAAATACTAGAAGATTCATAAGAACTTTATTAATCAGAGTCAAAAATGAGTAGAAACCAAGTGCTCATCAATAGGATATGGATAAAAAAGGATAATGAATAAAAAAGATTTATAGTGTATTCATACAATAGGAATGTTACTCTAGCTGGACCAAGAATATATTATTGATACATGCAGAAAAATGAAGAACATTGTATTGAGTAAAAAAGTCCTCATCCCTTAAGTCTATTGTTTATGTAAATGTGTTCATTTATGTGAAGTCTCAAGAGGGACATAGTCATCTATGGCTAAAATAGAAGAATCATTTGCTCTATGGGAACTTGGAATTAGGGTTGACAGGCAGGAACACGAGGGAAATTTCTAGGTTGAAATTAGGTTCTTCGTAGAGGGTTGGATTTTATGTAAACTCAAAATCTTTAAAGTTCAACAAATATATACTTAAGATTTGTGTATTTCATTGAACATGAATTCCACACTTAAAAATAAACAACTCTATGGAATTAGGCAAAATATATGCATGCTGAGGAAGTATCTACGAAGTGAAACACTAATGTCTACAGTCACCTGAAATGTATCAGAAAAGATGAATGGATGAGCAGAGGAGAAAGAGATGAGGTAGTGCTTAGGGAGGCGCTTCAACTTGATTGGCTTTGGGATCCCCTGGGGGCAGGGGTGGCACCTGCGTAGCCACAGTCAGGCAGGCAATGGAGCCTGCCTTGGGGTCTGGTTCTTGGCCCTTTCTGCCCTGGTATTATTCCCTTGTTCTGTTTTCCAGCTGACAAGAGCTAATGTTCCTTTACACCCTTCCATCATGACTTTTCTGCATTAGAGCTAGCAGACCACGGACGAAATCCTCCCATACTGAGTAAAATCAACACCTTTTAGGTATGGATGTCAGGTATGACGACCCGGGCACAGAGAAGCTGTGAAATGAAATGAATGATCATGTCTATGAGGTGAGTATGCGGATGTTCGCTGTCAAGGAGAGAACACAATGCTGCTTTCGTCTTTATATAGAATGCAGTCCAGGGCTGAGTCCCCCAGTCCTCCAACTTACCCACAGCCATGTAGTGGGCATCAAAGCCTGTGAATCGCTCCTCATTGGAGAAATCTGATCGGAAAGTGACAGACATGAAGGAGCCAGGGGAGAGGACCACTTCCTGGCCGGGGGTCTGCTCTGTGTCTGTCGTCTCCCTCCCACAGAAGGTTGCCAGCACCTGGTCTTCAGTTTCTACCTTTGAGGTGAAAGTGAAAAGGAGCAAGATGAGTGGCTTCACAATTGAGCTTCTTTCCTGATTTCCAGGAGGAAATAGGAAGGGGTTACATACAAGTACATGGGGAAGGGAGTTGGTGAGATGGCTCAGTGGTCTAATGCACCTACTTAGAACAAGTTTAGCAAAGCACAGGGACCGCGGTTCTAATACCCCAGCACCACATGCCAGCCAGCCCTGCCCCCTGGTGGGCTGAGCTGGCCACATACACAAATAAATAAAAAAAATTAATAAAGAATATTTAAAAAAAAAAACAAGTACATGGGGAAGTCCGGACAACTCAAAGAAGGTGGGTTAGGCGCCCTGGCATTTGAGGAAAGATGCCTGAAGGGTTACATCAGGGTGCTCATCTGATGGTTTTTGTTCATTTGATTTCATTTCTTCAGATGCAGCTTGGTGTTTGTCTTTCCTGTTGCCAACCAAATGGCTTGCTTACTGAAAATAACTCTGTTAACACTTAACAAAAGTGTTATTATAACCCACTACTATTATGGACTACTGGACTACATTGGATTATTTTGCTGAATTCACGCACCTACAATATTTAAATGGCAGTGGAATACCCTTCTCTGACAAAAATAAACAAAGAAAAGGGATATAAATAGAGGACCTTTTTTTATCTGTATATACAAAATAGAATAGATGTACAGTTATTTTCTCTTAATTCGATGAGAAGAAAGATTTGTACTAATAGTGTTTGGACAGGCTATCATGTGTGCATCTTGTACTATGAACAACTACTATGAAGACAACAATATGCAATGTATTAATTATTGTAACTGTCCTACTAATCTGTTTTGAAACTGTCACATTGCTATTCCTTTCTCAATAAAATAATTTTTAAAAACCACTTAACAAGAGTTACATGCCTGGGGGCAGGTTCTATATGTAATAGAGATTGACTACATTGCTAGAGAATGAAACTTTGTGCATAAGTTCTTCCTTGAGCACCCAGTGTGTGCTGGCCACTGAGCACAGCATGAGCTGAGAGCGCTGAAAAAATGAGAAGACATAGGGCTGTGCACAGGACAGCAGTGTTCAAACTGAGGAAAAAGGGTGCAAAGGGGGCTATGCTACAGCATGACAAGCACTTTAGTGCAAATACTCAGAAGGAGGTGAAATCCTCACTAGAACATAAACTGGAAAGTAAGACAGTTCTTACAGATCTGTCCCCAGGGAGTGGGAGAGGACCTGTCACATTGTAGTTATCCAATAAATACTTGTTAACAAGAACTAAAGGTGTAGACCCATCCTGAGAACGATGAGAAGCCCAGATGTCTGTTAGAATTATTCGAGGGATGGATATGTGGATAGTAGGTTATGATTGACTGTAGATACCACTACTTCTGTAAGTGGAAGGCATTAAAAACTTCTCCATGGAAAATCATGTAATCAGAACTGTATTTAATAGGTAGTTCTTAAAATTAAGAAAGTATATTGAAGTCACCTAGAAATGGTGTCTGTGTGTGTTCAGACCACATGTGAAAAAACATCATGTACTTGCTGGAAGAATTCCCAACAACTTTGAAGGAACCAGAAGGCCCAGAGGGATTCAGCGAACAAAGCAGACATCCTGTGATGATTGCATAAAGCTCAGTGTGTGTCCAGTTTAGGAAGCATGTTGGGTAGCTGGATGATGAATTTAATTTGACTAGGAATTCTTGCCCTACCCACTAGTCTTGTCATCTTATACCTAACTTGATTCTTTCAAGCTTGTATTTGTGCTTGTAATTTCTGGGTGACGCCTTAGGCAAGACGCATGTAGAAATCTTAGGAAGAACGGTAAGTCATTAAAGGAGGCCTGTCCCTACGGGCTGTCTATCTCTAAGTAGCTTCCGTTAAGTTCATTGTTTCATTCATTAACTTAGTATGTCAGAAGCATCTTGACATTTGGCACTTCTGTTTTTGAAACTAATCATTTATTTATTTAAAATAAGAAGGCATTTTAAAGAAAAACATCATTTTGTCCTGGCAACAAAACACAAGGATAATTAATCACTAACATTGGGAATTGAAGTGTAAACAGAAAATGAGATCATGACTTTGCTATTTGTTCTTCTTCTCTGCAGATACCAGGGATTTCACCCCAGCCTCCTTAGGGTAGAATGTGCCTTTCCTCATACAGCTGACATGCCACCTTGGATAACCCTGCTGCTGTGCTCTTTTGGTGAACTGAGGTTTCCAAATAGCTGCAAGTCTTCCTATGCGTAAACTTTCCAAGTTTTTCTTTTAGATGCAACACTTTTTGTAGAAAGTACTTTATACAAATCCCTATTTTCTTTCATGAAGCGTGCTGTCACATTCTTGGTGATCCAGGGACATCCTTATAAGTTTCAATTATCAAGATACAGCATTAGAGGGAGACACTTGGCGAGGCTGCATTGTGTGACACTGTTTGCCTTTCATGGAATGCTGTCAGACTGTATGTCTTGGCAATTTTTATGCCTCTTTTATGTAGTAGTCTTTTCCTGTCTTTTAATCAGTCTAGTAGTTGTACTTTTGGTTTATTTTTAATGTTCTGAGTGAGAAAACACTTAAACTGCTCTTGTGGGAATTTAATAAGAAAGAAGACTAAATATATTTAGGGTGAGGCTTGTGGGGAAATTTTTCTATAGGTAAGTATGTGAACTTGTGCTCTACCTTAGGGACCTCTGCTTTGCAGTACTCTAAGGTGTATAGAACTGCTATTAGAGGTTCTCTATTTCAGTGACCTCTGCTTTGGAGTACTCTAAGGTGTATAGAACTGCTATTTAGAGGTTATTCTGAGTTATTCTTTGAGCATGCAGTGAATAATTATCTCGGTGGCTTCCTCTTTGGAGTACTCTAAGGTATATGGACCTGTTATTTAGAGGTCCTAACTCCACCACAAAATGCTACAGAATTGCACCTAGTTACACATCTCTAAAAAGGACTTTGTACTTTCTGAGATCTAGATTCCCTTCTAAACCTGAAAAGCTAATATTCTAACCAGTAAACACTAATAAAGCAACCACAAGATGGTAAATAAGAGTTCAACACAGAGATTGCTGCTACCCATTGCTATTCCTGGTGGTGCTAAGCTTGTTTGTGATCTGTAAACTATGCCACACAAAATCAATTGCCAGTGAGTCCTCATGCCTTGAGCATTAGTAACAGACAGAGCACCCTCTTCCTACATCTTGGCATCCTTGGGGCCTCTGTAGTGTTTGAGCATGGACACTTTCAGTGGAAATGAACCAAGATCATTTGAAATAAAGAGATCTACTGAGGACTTGTTGGAACCTTCCCTCCTTGTAACTTCTGGGTTTAAGGACTTTTTCATGGCAGATGAGCAAGCACCACCTGCGGAGTCACACTATTCCAGAGAACAGGGAGGCATGCCTGTGTGGAGAGCCATGGCAAAACTGAGTCATATATACTTTTAGAAGCAGAGAAAGCAAGGACAGTAGGCCAGGACTCTGGGAATTCAACTTACAGCCCAGAATAGAATCCTGGAAGAGCAGAACTAGGAGGGACCTTTAAGAGTTATTTCAATTTCCCTTCTAGAGGAAATAGCCAGAAAGGAAAGCAACTCATTCAATGGTAGAAAGATAACACAGCATTTTCTGATATCGATTTTGCCTTTGGAACTGTTCTGAGACTACAGAAAGCCTCTACACCATCCCAGAGAGTGCATGACAAGAGACCCAGAGGCTCAGTTAAGTAATTTGCCTGGCTCACGAGCCTCTTGAAACCTTATCTAGGGTGCATGGATTGTTTCTCAGAAAGGATATGGCTCAGTGACAGCTGTATCCCTAACCTAAACAGAGGGGTCACCAGCCCTGCTTAATATTTGTATCCCTTGCTGTGAATTACAAAGTTCTACAAAGATCATTTTCCTCTAAGCATAGGCATAGAGTGGAACTCTGTTTTCTGTTTGGACTGTCCTATCTTCGGGATCATCATATCAACATGGAGGAAAGAGCCTATTGAGCCAAGTCCCCAAATTCATAACAATAGTCCATGTGGCAGGAGATCATAGATGTTTCATTTTTCTTCTTTTTGTTGTGGGCAGTGCTGTCCTTACAGACGATTGTTCTTAGGGACACCGGCCTGTGATTGCATGTACTCAATTTGTTTTCTTTTAACTCAATTTGACAAATGTTTATGTACCAAATTCTGTCTGGGCTTTAATGTGGAAGATGTCCAAAATTGCTTATTTTTGTGGTATGAATTTACAAAGCCCATCTCCTGCCTCTGGGAAAGTGACATTTAGTAGAATACGGTAAGTACTTAAGTGTGTACATTGGAGTATTGTCTGAGGGTGGCAACTTCAGTGACACATGGGGAACCTCAGGGATTGCAAAAAGGTAAAAATTGCATCCAGCTGAGAAGGATCAGAAACATTCAGGACAGGGGATTAGCTCTGGCAAAACACTTGCTTGGCACATGAAAGCCCTCCTTAATTTGGTTTGATTTCCAGCACTGCAAAACAAAGCAAAAGAAAAAAAAAAGGTAAACAAAAAGTTGAGAGAGAAGAAAATGTCCTTTGGGCTGTGGAGTGGTTGGGGAGCAGGACTCAGGCAAGAAGAAAGAGTACATGGAGGTGGGGTGGTGCAGAAGAGCAGTGTGGCACAGTGGAGAAGGAAGACTTGGGTACTCAGAATGTCCGCCAAGCCCCCATGTACCACCTGAGGTGGGAGAGGGGCTCTGCTGAGGACAGGGAACTGGGAAACAGATCTCAGGAGAAAAACCAAAGTCTGTTCTCTATGAGTTTTTTTGAAGCAGACACTTTGTAGGCAAAACTGCAGCAGGGCGGTGGGAATTTGAGCCAATTTCCATGGCGAGACCCCGTGGCTGCACTCCTCATGTGCTGGGACTCACGGCCATGCTGCAGAGCTGCTTTGGTGGTGCCCAAGCAGCTCCTCCAGGGAAAGCATGGAGGAAGCCCCTCAGAAGTGACTTACTGTTTTATACACCAGGAAGCTGAAGCACAGGTGATTTAA